AAATGTGGAGACCCGGGTTGAATCCCAGTCTGTGTACCTCAGATGCAGCCATGGCCCCTCTGTCAGTGGTGGTTTGTGTGTTGCCGTGATGCTAAATATGTTTCAGTGGAGCTTCTAGTCTAAGGCAGACTAGGAAGAAAGGCCTGGTGATGTACTTGAGAAAAACAGTCAGTGGAAACCTATGATCACAACAATCTGATCCACAACTGATCATGGGGATGGCAGTGGACCAGGCAACATTTAGTAGCTTTGTGCATGGGGTCTCCATGTCAGAGGGCGACTCTATAGTAGCAGACAACAGCAATAGTTTTTTTGAATAGTCTTCCTGTCTCTACTCTTAGTTACCATATTTTCTTTCAAGGAGTCCTGGTGTGGTGGTGTAGGATTGCTAACTTCAAGGTTGGTGGTTCGAACTCACCAACTGTTCCTTGGAAACCCTTTACAGGGTCGCTATGAATTGGGACCAACTTGATGGCATTTAGCAACAAGTGTGCTTATGTAAATAATATGTGTGCATACACACATATGGGTGGAAATGCAAAATTATGTGAAAAAGTTCTGGCATAGCACATGTGCACAGACACCATGTATGTATCATGACAGTTCCAGAAGTGGATTTTGGCCTTATTCAGCCTCATTCAATAGTTCGAAAATGTTAGTTTTGATCATATTTGTTTAATAACGGTACACACATGTTTGTCACATGGAAGACATTCATAAATGGTTGTTGAGTAAATGTGTAAGCAGACAGGTGAACTTCTGTGGGCATTACTATATAGTTAGTGTTAAATTTTCACATTAAATAACTTGTGGCATCTGTTCATTTTGAAGATCATACTGATGATGTCGTCATAATTGATTAGAAGTGGTTCTGCTAATCAGAGAAAAACTGGTAGTTTGTCCTGAAAGAAATAACTAAACTTTGACCCATACTAATTTTGAAAATGCATCCTCTCAAATTAGTTTCGACAATTTACTTTTCAATATTTTGCTTCTTTGATTTATTTTGCTCTTTTTAATTATATTAAAACATATGAAATTGCCTGTAGTCAGTCATTCTATACCTATATTTTCATATAGTTCTATCTGTAGCAGTGGATTTATTGTTGTTCATACATCTGTGCTCTTTACACGAGGTGGAAATATATATCAGCCTGCCTGTGGGTGGATTCCCCACTTGGTAAAAAGAAGTGCTCTGGCTTAGTTTCATGACCACTCCTGTCGGGGTGGGCTTCACGAAGGTGGGAGATCTGGAGGTGAAAGAGAGACAATATAGAAACAAAGACACAGACACGCAAGTTTGATGCAAGCTGTCAGGCAAGCTAGCATACAGGACTAGCTCTACCTCAGTCTTTTATTCGTTTTCAGATCAGGGAAATCAAGGCAGGAGGTACAAGTTTAATGTGATTAATTATTTGAAGAGGGTACAAAGTGATTTCACAGAATCTCATGCGTCATTCAGATCTTAGAAAATTATCTGGCGCTCAGAAAATTATCCTGTGCTCATATTCTTAGCCAACCATTCTTGCGGAGTTAAAGGCGCAGACAAGCAATTATTGGTTTAAACTTCAACTTCATGGGCCCCCATGGCCCAGAAAAGTTAGCTAAAAAGAGCCAAGTTAAGTGTTCATTAGAAATTCTAATTCCTTCTGAGTATGCTATGTGTGAAAGGTACATGGTTTCATTTGTGAACAAAATTATAAGCAGTTAATCGAAACCTAATCTTCTCTATATGACTTTTATACTTTCAGGGAAGTCTGGGGACAAGTTTACACTTATTCTAACAGCACAATCTTTTATTCTTGTATGTTTCTACCCTAGTTTCAGGATTTATAAATGAATACTGAAATGCTTATTACCATTATAAGTCTAAATGTGTCAGGATCAAACTGATTATCTCTTAGCACAATCGAAGGGAGCTGCTACTATTTTATTCATACAAATATTCTTGTAATTTTACTTTTTCTCTTGTAAGTAGAATACTCTGGACAGTTTTTCTTCAGGGTCGAAACTATTTTACTCAGGGATAGTTGGAGGAGGTTGCTACTATTTTCTTTTAATTAAGTATACTCATAATCCATCTGAAATGTCTTTCTATTACCCCAATATAGCTGTTCTTGCTCATAAGTCATTTGGGGAAGTTTAACTGACTCTAACTTAGGAGCATTCTCTGTACGGTTGTCAAGCATAGATACCAGCAGCTCATGTTTTAGCTTAATATTATACATAACTGAGTAGTTACCCAGAGAGTAAGTATTACATTCTGCCCAAATCGCCACTGCTTGTTCCTCAGAGACCTTGCCTCTGATAACAGCCCGCACAGCCTGTACTGCCAAGGCAGCGACATTTACAGAGGAGCCATTAACCGAGACAAAGTGTGTATTATTACTGGACTTATAACATTCATCCAGAGGCTACAGCTACCGGAGTTGAAAGCAAGAAAATCAGATAAAGAACACACAATACAGTCATTAGGAGAAATTGAATAGTTTTAGCCAGGAGGTGAGTTCACCAAAGGCCATGTTCCTGGGCCCTCAGGAGTTTTACGTCCTGGTCCACAAGGGCCATGTATTACAGATCTGGAGCGGGCCCCTGGTCCAGAATCTTGTCTGTCTTCTCAAGGGGCCACAGCATCTCGGGGTCTGCATATGTCGTCGCCTACACACTCCCACATATAAACGGGAAAGAAACCTTCTTTCCCATCTCCTATGTCAAGTTGTCCACAATCTTTTGTTTAGGTTAGAGACAGAGTACTGAAAGCTGCTACCAGTCAACACTGTGGGCTGGCAGATCAAACTGGAAATACCCCACTTCTCCTGGAATGTGCTCTTCTGGACTCATGATCACTTGTTGCTAAGGACCTCAAGAGCTCAGGTTTTCCTGAAGGTTCTTATAGAGCTCATTCTGTCTCCTGGCTCCACGAATGTCACTTTTTCAGGTGGCATAATTTGGAACCAGAGTCCTGGTGTGGGTTAATGCCCCAGGCTGCAAAGACGTTTAAACTACAAGGTTGGTGGTTCAAGCTCACCTGCTGCTCCTTGGAAACCCTATACAAGGTCACTATGGGTTGGAACTGACTTGATGGCACTTAACAACAACAATAATTTGGAACCAGTAAAGATGGGTAATGCACTGGACTACAAGGTCAGTTTGACCTGCAAGGTTGATGGTTCAAATTTACCAGTCACTCCTTGGAAACCCTATACAGGATCACTATGATCGTAACTGACTCAACAGCACTTAACAACAACAACAAAGAGGGAAGGAGCTCTGATGGTACAATGGATTAAGCATGTGGCTGCTTACCAAAAGACAAGGGCTGTTCGAACCCATCAGCTCTGCTGTAGAAAGATGAGACCGTAAGATTTACAGGCTCAGAAACTGTACAGAGCCACTTTTATTGTGTTCTATATGATCCCTATGAGTTACAGGCTGAGAACATGTACGGAGCCAGTTTTACTGTGTCCTGTATGATTACTATGAGTTGGACTTGACTCAGTGGTCGCGGGTTTGGTTCTAAAAGACAAAGGTACTTGAACTGACATGGAGTCACATGGGTGCTGAGTCCCCTCTGCTAGTGTCCTATGGAAGTTCTTCCCATGGCTAGCTCTCTCTGGTGCCATCTTTTCTTTCTTTTTTTTTAAATTGGACTGTTATTGTTAAGTGATGTGTAATCAGTTCTGACTCATAGTGATCCTGTATAGGATTTCCAAGGAGCCGTTGGTGTGTTTGAACGACCAATCTGTGCTTAGCAGTCCAGTACTTATCCTACAGTGCAAAATGCTGTAATTGGAGGCTAAGGTGGAAATAAACTTTTTTTCCCAATGTGGGTGATTGTGCTTATGAACATTCCCAGTAAAACACATAAAATGGTAAACCAGGTTAGGCCTTTACTCTCTCCTGCTCCTCACCTCCCCCCACAGCTGTTTGCTTCTCAATGTCAATGGTAGCTTAATAGGAGTTTTGAGGGATTTTTAAATGTGTTAATGGTAAAAGTAAATGCTGGAAGACTTTGAAGTCACATCTTACCAGTCTTTTATTTGAGCAAAAATGGGACAATCTAATTCATATAAATGTAAATCATGATTATGGCTTTGAATAGTGAGTAAATTAGAAGCAATAGCATTTGCAGGGATACAGATTTATGGCCCAGTATTAATTTAGGTCAGCAGTTTGAAACTACCAGCCGTTCCATGAGAGAAAGGTGAGACTTTCTGCTCCCGTATAGATATATAGTCTCGGAAGCCCTATGAAGGGTCGCAATGATTGGAACTGACGCCACAGCATACCACCACCACCAGTGATGTTGTATACTTTTATGGAAATACCAAAATATATTGATGATTGAAAGTACTATATACGATAAAGTAATATGCACCAGAAAACCTTACAAGAAAGAATATCTTCTAATATACTTTTATGAAGTTCTAAATTTAAAGATTTTATTCTTCAAATTTTATTTGGTTCACATGAACCACTAAATATGTTTTCAGCCTTTGCTGGGTTATCTTAAACTTCCTGAGAAAGTAAATATAGAAACAGGCTTAGATAAAAAGACAAGTGGATTGCTTAGAATTGAGTGCTCAGGGTGGGGAGCCATATTTTAATGCAGGTTCAAAGTGGGGAAGACATTACAGGAGAAGGCCTACAAGGAAGTGCCCCTGTGAGCTCACAGGTATTGGTGAAGCTTGACCGAAGAGTGCATGCCTGATGGGAAGGGATCCTTTAGAGTGAGCCTCTCCTCTGTTGGTTTTAATTGCAGACAGATCAGGTTAGCTGGTCGTACTAACCCACATTATAAATGGATCAGTGCTCCTCATCTCCTTTCCAATGTGGTCACAAATCTTATCAAATGGTAAGTTTATGTAAAAGACTGAAAGTGATATAAAATGAGTAGCTTACTGTTTGTTATTTTTAGCCATGTTATAATTAGCCATATTGTAATACTAGCTTTGTTATAGTCATGATATGAATAATATCATTATATTTTATTTTTGTAGGTTCTCAAAGGCACCGTGACCAACTTCCCTGGCTTTGATGATCGGGCTGATGCAGAAACTCTTCGGAAGGCCATGAAAGGCCTGGGTAAATCCAGCCACTTTTATGTTCTCATAAAATGTGACATTTGTTTTAATTTTAGAGTTGTTTTTTTTTGAATATGAAATTTCTAGAAAAAGGTCAAGTAAGATAATAGTACTGGCTATACCTAATATTCACCAGCCCTGGTATGGTGCTGTAGGATCAACATTGAACTGGTAACGACAAAGTCAGCAGTTCAAACCTGCCAGCCATTCTTGGAAACCCTATGCAGGGTTGCTATGAGTCAAAACTAAGATGACAGCACATTACAACAACAACAATCCTAATATTCAGTCTCTAGAAATGAATCTGCTGCACAGGAACTTTTTAAAGTAATGAAGAGCAGATATGTCAGCTTGAGGACTAAGGTGCGCCTCACCCAAGCCATGGTATTTTCAATAATCTCATATGGATGCGAAAGCTGGACAGTGAATAAGGAAGATCATAGAAGAATTGATGCCTTTGAGTTGTGGTATTGGAGGAGAATACTGAAAGTGCCATGGACTGCCAAAAGAACCAATAGATCTGTTTTGGAAGAAGTGCTCCTTGGAGGCCAAGATGGCTAGGCTTCGTCTCTCATACTTTGGACACATTGTCCAGAGAGAACAGTCACTGGAGAAGGATGTCATGCTGGGTAAGATGGAGGGTCAGAGAAAAAGAGGAAGACCCTCAACGAGATGGATCAGCCAGGTGACATCATTGATGGCGTCAAGTGTGGCGGCTGTAGTGAGGTTGGCCCAGGATCGGACATTGTTTCGTTCTGCTGTGCATGGGGTCACTATGAGTCGGTTCTAACTCGATGGCACCTGACAACAACAACAACAAGAAATGAACAAGAAGTTAAATTCAGTCTCTTAGCTTCTTAAGTTTTCAACTTTGCCTGTATGGAAGCTGCTTGTGTAGAAAAGCACACATCACTGAGAGCAGCCAGCTCTTTTTTCACTGTGTCCAATCAGACATCCAGTTCTCCTTTCTAAAGAACAGCAACAAATCAAAAATAACCCTGTTGTTATCAGTCAATTCTTATACATGACAACCTTGTGTATGTGTCTGAGTAGAGTGGTGTTCCATAGAGTTTTCATTGGCTGATTTTCAGCAGTAGTTTGTTTTTTGTTATTGTTAAGTGCTATCGAGTCAGTTCCGACCCATAGTGACTCTGTATAGGAGCAGCCGACCTTGCGGTTCAAACTGACTTTGCAGTCCAGCGCATTAACAGCCACAGCACCACACCAGGATTCCAGCAGTAGATTATGAGACTTTTTTTCTGAGGCACCTTGGGGTGGACTGAAACTACCAACTTCATTGTTGGTACCAACCAAGGACATAATCTCCTTTCTGGCCATGTTAGAAAAACAAGAACAAAAACTGGTGTCTCTGTCCTCAGGTTCCTTCCATACTAGTGCTCATGCGAAAGGATCCACATTCTTAAACTTGGCTCTGCACTGTCAGTCTTCATTGTGAGTAGTCAGTGAGATTTCCTGTAGAGCAGGATTAGTTGCAGACTTTCTAGCTTGATCAGACCTTCCAAAGCAGCCCCAGCCTATGTTGTCAGATTCATCTCTTAGTACTATTTGATGTGTTCTCTGATCCAGGCACTCTGATTGTCTGCCATTCATGAAAGCCCTGCATTGTCCTTCAATTACATTTTTCTCTTACCGTAAAAGCCTGTCCTTCCTCTTTACATCTCTGCCTGTTTAAATCATTTGATCTTTCAAGATTGTTTCCAGTTTGAAGTCTTTCTGTGAACTCCCTTCCATCTGTCTCCCTGTCAATTAACAGAACCTTCTTTGAACCTCATTTAGCTCCTGGACCTCACCTGAGGCACTTGTCACATTCCGCCTTAAGTCCCAATTACTTTTGTGGTTTTATATTTTTCATTCTAAATTGTCTATAACTTGAAGGCAGGGCCTTTTTCTTTCTTCTCTCTGAATTAAGCGTGTTATACCTTTTGAACAATACTGAGTACTATGAGTTATTTGAGTAACTACTAGTTGCATGGAGTCCTACTGTGGTGCGGAGGATAAGCACTCGACTTCAGGGTTGGTTTGAACCATAAGATTGGTGGTTGAAACACACCAGCCACTCCTTAGAAACCCTGTACTCAGGGTCACTGTGAGTAGGAACTAACTCTTCAGTACTTACCAACATTAGTTGTATGGAAAGCTCTGTGCACTCAGAGCTTAAAAAGTCGGGAGTAGCTTTCTATAAGTCAAACAGTATATGTTGGAAATACAACATTTCATATATGATCAGTTTAAATGGATATCACATAAATATGTGTATTTTTGAATATTTTGTTTTCACATAGATAAGGAAATAAATTGACTGGAAAACTGGAATGCAAAGTTTATTGGGAGAGTAGGCACGTCAGAGACTAAATGTAATTGTGTAACCATTAATTGCAGGCACCGATGAGGAGTCCATCATGACATTGTTGACATCCCGAAGTAATGCCCAGCGTCAGGAAATCATTGCAGCTTTTAAAACTCTGTTTGGCAGGGTAAGACCCCCTTCATCCCAGAGTAGAATATGAGAGCAGCTGTAACTTTTAAGAGTAGTGTGAAATGTAATTATATATTTTTGGTAAGCATAACATTTATTTTGTGAGTCTCACTTCTCGACACTTTGCTTTTTATTTTTCAACTTCCTCTTGATGATTATTAATTAGAATACAGTGCTTCCCCAACTTAGCCTCACTGAGTTGTGTTTCCTTGCTTAATGTGGTAGAGTGCCAGAGATCTCATGGTGATAACTGCCCTTTCTCTTTTCTTCTGTGCCTCCCATCCGGGATTATTTTATTATCTATTTTGTAGGTGTAAACCTGTATGTAGTATAATATGTTATGTAATTCACAGTCACAGTCTTGATTCCCTTTGCCATGGTTTGCATAAATGGCTTTCACCACACTAAACTGTTCTCTTTTATAATCAAATCAGAGGAAAAAGAATTAAATTTGTTAATTAAACGAATTGGCACAGGCATGAAAAACAGAAATGTATTCTTGTTATTCTGAAATCTCTATTAATCATTCCATTCAGAAACAAATGAAAGACAAAAAAAAAAAATCAAATATTTAACCATTTCTAGTAGCCTGGACTTCTGGTGTGGTGGTGTAGGCTCATCACAGGACTGTGAACAAGGTTAGCAGTTCAACCCCACCAGCTGTTCCTTGGAAACCCTATACAGGGTTATTGTGAGTCAGAACCTATTCGATGACACTTAACAATAACAGCAAAGTTGCCTGGCCTACTGAAACAAACAGACAGGAAACACAGCTGTTTGTTTCATTATTATTTATACAATTTTCCCATAATAGCAGTTGCCCAGTAGTCAGGAACATAATAATAAACATAAATCATTATGAATCAGAATGTCATTAAGTACTGAGGGAAAACAGAAAATTGTTATGTTTAGGAATACATGTCAGTTATTTGTAGTTATACATTTATATATCTTTTGGAAAATTTTTTTCATGATACATAATTTTGAAAATAGATTAAAAAAAATAATTTTAATCTACTCTTTAAGGAATTTTTTTTTTTTTCACTCTTAAGGTTAAGAAAAACATCTTAAAAAATAAACAAACCCTTAAGTATAAATAGCTTTTCTTTAGTTTTAGCATTAGGTCAAATGTCAAAAGTATGTTATTCAGGTTTTTGCTTAGTAACTTTCCATTCCTACTTGGAGACAGCAATGCTGTTGTTGTTGTTGTTATGTGCCGTGGAGTTGGTTCCGACTCATAGTGACCCTGTACAGGGTTTCCGGGGCTGTAAATCTTTACGGGAGCAGAAAGCCTCATCTTTCTCCCACGGAACAGCTGGTACTTTCGAACTGCTGACCTTGAGGTTTGCAGCCCGATTCGTAACCACTATGCTACCAGAGCTCCTTGGAGACAGCAATAGTTTGTACTAAATTAAACAAGTTAGGAATTCTCTGAAGTCATATTTCATGCTTTTCTAACTCTGGTTTTAAAATACAAAGAAGGAAAAACTAATTTATAAAGAATACAGTATACAAAGGACTCTGATTTATATTCAGGAAGAATTCCCTTAGAATTTCTGTGTGGTTAACAAATTTGCGTTTTTTGTTCACTAGGATCTTCTGGACGACCTGAAATCAGAGCTGACTGGAAAATTTGAAAAATTAATTGTGGCTTTGATGAAACCCTCTCAGCTTTATGACGCCTATGAACTGAAACATGCTCTAAAGGTAAAAGGTTGAGTAAAAGGAACATTTCTGCCATGAGAAATAGATTATTTCCTTTATGTAATTACTTTATCTTCTCTTATTTTTTATGCTTTAAAATATTTAATGTGAGTGAGAGCTTCTGAAAAAGACAAAATATATGCATGCCAAAAGAAGAACAGGAAGGAGAAAAATGACAAGCGTATCATTTCCATTTTTTGTACAAAGTCACTAAAACATTGGCTAGTTAAGAATTTGGAGTCCTGGTGTGGCACTGTAGGATAAGCACTGGACTGCAAGGTTGTCAGTACAAACTCACCAGCTGCTCCTTGGAAACCCTGTAAAGCATTGCTATGAGTTGGTACCGACACGCTAGCACTTAGCAACAATAATGAGTTAAAAATTTAGTAATTTTTATAGCTTGCTTTATATTTGATTTTCACACCAATTTTCTAATTTTAAGATGCGTTTTTAAAACGTTACAGATTAAATGTAACATATAATAAGCTTATAAGATCAACAGTTCAAACCTACCAGCTGCTCCTCAGAAACCCTATACAAGGTCACTGAGTTGGAACTGACTTGATGGCCCTTAACAACAACAGTGACAATAATCTTAAACTATTGTGTATTGTTTACGTGTCAGTTTGTCTTTTGTGGTAGCTTGTGTTACTATGATGCTGGAAAATATGTCACAGGTATTTAAAAAAAACAGCCTTGTCATTCATGGAGGACAGATTTTAGTGGGACTTCCAGGCTAAGATACTAGGAAGACCAATATAATAATGTACTTGTGAAAAAGAACTGGCTAATTAATGAAAACTGCATGAGTAGCAGTGAAGCATTGTCAGAAATAGTGCCAGAAGATGAGTCCCCCAGGGTTGGAAAGCACTCAAAATACAATTGGGGAAGAGCTGCCTCTACAAAGTAGACTCGACCTTTATAATATGGTTAAAATAAAGCTTTTAGAACCTTCACTTGCTGATGTGGCATGACATAAAAAGAGAAGAAATACCATATAATCAGAATGTGGAATGTACAATCTAGGAAAAATCGAAGTTGTCACAAATGAAATAGAATGTTTGAAGATAGATACCCAAGTATTAATGAGCTGAAATGGATAGGTATTGGACATTTTGAAGTAGACAGACAGTCATATGCTCTACAATGCTGGGAATGACAAGTGAAAGAAAAACAGTGTTACTTTCATTTTCAAAAAGAACATTTCAAGATCTGTCCTGAGTATAATGATGTCAATGGTAGCGTAATATTCATATGCCTACAAGGAAGGTCAGTTAATGTATTAACTGTTACTCAAATTTACACACCAACAAATAATGCCAAAAGCCAAGAAATTGACGATATTAACCAACTTTTGCAGTCAAAAATTGATACAATGTACAATCAGTATGCATTGATAATTAGTGGTGATTCGAATATGAAAGTTGGAGTATATGACCTTGGGCATAGAAATAGTACCAGAGATCACATGATAGACTTTTGCAAGACCAATGAACTATTTACTAGAAATGCCTTTTTAAGCAACATACATGTGGACCTCACCAAATGGAATACACAGGAATCAAATCAACTACATATTTGAAAAGAGACGATGGAGAAATTCAGTATCATCAGTCAGAACAAGGTGTCTGCTAAGTAACAGACCATCAGTTACTCAGATGCCAAGTTCAAGTTGAAGTTGAAGAAAATTAAAACAAGTTCACAAGAACCAAAGTCCAACTTTGAGTATATGCCCCCCTGAATTTAGAGACCAACTTAAGAATAGATTTAGTGTTGTTGTTGTTGTTGTTAAGTGCCGTTGAGTCAGTTCCAACCCATAGCGACCCTGCACAGGGTTTCCGAGGCTGTAAATCTTTATGGGAGCAGAAAGCCTCATCTTTCTCCCGCGGAACCGCTGGTAGTTTAGAACTGCCGACCTTCAGGTTAGCAGCCCGATTCATAACCACTACGCTACCAGAGCTCCTTATTTAATGTAAAAACCAAAGATCAGACAAGTTGTGGGATGATGTCAAGGACATCATACATGAAGAAAGCAAAAGGACATTGTGGTGTAGTTATTTATTTAATATTTCTTTTCTAGCTTTAGTCTTTGTAATTTCCAACAAGTGTCTTTGCCTGATGGGTCTGGCTAAGAGAAAGGGGGAGAAAATGCTGACAGGGTTATATGATTCAATTGTGACTGGCTAATAGGAGTCCTAAAGAGCTCTGGTAGCGTAGTGGTTACGAATCAGGCTGCTAACCTCAAGGTCAGCAGTTTGAAACTATCAGCCATTCCGTGGGAGAAAGATGAGGCTTTCTGTTCCTGTAAAGATTTATAGTCATCTACTAGCAAAATTAAGCTGAACATAATTTAGAAGGCTTGCAGCGATACATCAGTAGGGAATTGACAGAAATTTAAGTTTAATTTAGAAAAGGACTTGGAACAAGGGATATTTTACTGACGTCAGATGGATCTTGACTGAAAGCAGAGAATACCAGAAAATCTTTACCTGTGTTTTATTGACAAAAGGCGTGTGCTTATGTGGATCATAATACATTGTGGATTAATAACATTGTGAAGAATGGAAATTCCAGAACACTTGATTGTTCTCATGTGAAACATATATAACCACCCAGAGGTAGTTGTTTGAACACAACTAGGGTATACTGTGTTGTTTAAACTCAGGAAAGACAAAGCATTAGGGTTGTATTTTCACCATACGTATTTGTTCTGTGTGGAGTCCTAGTGTGTTGCTGTGAGTTAATGCACTGGACTGCAAAGTCAGTTTGAATCACAAGGTCAGTGGTTCAGGCTCATCAGCTGTTCCTTAGAAACCTTATACAGGGTCGCTTTGGGTCAGAACCAGCTTGATGGCACTTAACAACAACATTCATTCTGTATGCTGAGCAAATAACCTCAAGAAGAACATAGCATCAGGGTTGGAGGAAGATTCATTAGTAATCTGCACTATGTAGATGATACAGCCTTGCTTCCTGAAAGTTAAGAAGACTTCATGTGCTTACTGATGAAGATAAAAGACTAAAATCTTCAGTGTGGATTACACCTTAACATAAAGCAAACAAAAATTCTCACAACTGGACCAATAAGCTGTGTCTTGATAAATGGAGAAAATATTGAAGTTGTCAAGGATTTCATTTTATGTGAATCCATCATCAACACTCATGGAAACAGCAGTCAAAAAATCAAAACATCATATTGCATTGGGCAAATCTTCTGCAAAAAAACACTTTAAAGTGTTAAAAAGCAAAGCTGTTAGTTTTGAGGACTGAGGTGTGCCTGTCTGAAGCCATGGTATTTTTAATTGCCTCAGATGCTCATGGAAGCTGGCAAGTGAGTAAGGAAGACTGAAGAATAATTGATGTCTTGAATTATGGTATTGACAAAGAATATTGAAAGTATCAAGGACTGCCAGAAGAACAAACAAATCTGTGTTGGAAGAAGTACAGTCAGAATGCAGTTTAGAAGAGATGGCAAGTTTTTTTATTCCTTTTAAAGAATTTATTTTACACCTATTATACCACACAGTATGCCGTTTTTAAACATTGACATGTAACTCTCTAGTAAGATTCTCAAAGCAAAACCAAAAGCATTTACCTCATTAGAAACAAGATACATTATTCACTTATTGTCTTCAAACATGATTGCACTTTTACTTTCATAATTTGACAATGCATTCATGAAACAATCTGCAGACAACTACTGTTTTAACAGACAAAGAACACTTTTAAGTAGATGTGTCTGTCCTAAACGGTTCATTAGGCATGAATTTTACAAACATTATATTAATGGTAATAGTGGAGCTGGAGAGTGTTGCGTCTTCTCCAAGCAGCCCGGCGAGAACCACCAATAGTTTGGTAGAACTTGTGGCCCTTCCCCAGGCCACGGCTCTTGCAGCCTGCAGATGTCAAACGACGCATCTCCCTGTGCTTGTGGACTGGCATGGTGATCCATTGGGCGTCAGGATTTCTTCTGATAGCTTTATGGAATGGATCTATGAGGATAACTTCAAAAAATTTGTTTGTGGAATCTTCACCAACCCATTAAGAATACAGGACTCTTAGGGTCCCACAGTGGCATCCAGCTTGCTCCTCTAGCAAACTTCAGCTGGTTAACACCATGATGCACAGGCTTGCCATAGGTTGCATCCTTAGGCACTGGGCATTTGCGGCTCTGCGCACATGAATCTGATAGATGACATAACCTTGCTTGGCCTTGTATCCCAGTCTGTGCACCTTATCTGGCTGGGTGGAATGGAGGCCCTGTGCAGTGCAGAGAGCTGGCGGTACTGCCAGCAGTGGACCCGCAGGAGAAATCGCATCACATCAGACTGTTTCTTCCTCCATACTTACTGGATGTACTTGTAAACACCCATCTCGGCTTACCCTGATGGCTGCTATCAGATAGAAAAGAAGAAGCTTTTCTCCTCCTGACTTACTTTTGTACATATTATCAGAAGGGACTTGTTCCTGGAAAATGACATTATGCTTGATAAAATAGAGGGCCAGTGAAATAGAGGAAGACCCTCAATGATAGGATTTTACACATTGACTTCAGCAGTGGGCATGCAATGCAATGAATGACTTGTGAGGATGGTTCAGGGCAGGGCAGTTTTGTTGTGCATAGGGTTGCTATGAGTCAGAACTGATTCTATGGCACCTAACAACCACAACATTGTGTATCCTATGTTTATATGTATGCACATGCAGTGAACATTGCAAATAAATAAATTTGGAGGAAAATTAATTTGAAATTTCCTACTTCTTTAATTACAAGAACTTGTATACAAAGAAATCCATGTTTTGATGGGTGATATTTATGTAGTTTTGCAATTTGGGTAATATCTATTTCAGGAAATAAGTTGCTTATTGCCATATATTTTCTTTATTGAAATTAAATCTTCACATAGGGAGCTGGGACAGATGAAAAAGTCCTGACAGAAATTATTGCTTCAAGGACCCCTGAAGAACTGACAGCTATCAAACAAGTTTATGAAGAAGGTAAATGTTTAAAATGATATTTCTCCATCATTTCTTCTATTTCTCTAAGGGGTTTATAGGAGGATACAAGGGGTATGCAGTACCCAATTGTTGAATGAATGAATGAATGAATGAGCTACAATTTAAGGCATTTTTCTCCTTTAATAAAGAAAAGGCTTTTTTTGAAACCTGTAACTATTTGTTTATAAAAACCTGCTGATGAATATAGAATAGGTATTTACATAGTGTGGTGATGTGGATTATTTTTCTTTTATGTTATCTTTAAGGTTAAAATTTTTGTTTTTAATTTTAATTAAAATTTTAAAATTTTTATGGGCCCTTTTGGAACCTGGGAAAACAAGCTTATACTATTTCTCAAGTCAGAGTTCATAACAACGTATGTCTTCTTAGGTAGTAGCCATTGAGTTCTCTGCATTTTGACTTTTCTCTTTGCCGTACATTTATGAAACAATAAAATAAACAAAAAAATTCCCAAATACTCTATTTTCATGTACATTTTTCTTCATATAATCTAGCTTCTCGTATTATTTGTTCAGCATACAGATTAAATAAGTATGATGAAAGGATCAACCCTGTTGTACACCTTTCCTGATTTTAAACCATTCCGTATCCCTTTGTTCTGTTCAATTCTCATGAGCACAATGAAGTGTTCTGTAATACCCATTCTTTGCAATGTTATATATGGTTTGTCATGATGCATAGTTAGTTGGCAGTTCAAACTCATCAGCTGCTCCTCAGAAACCCTGTACAAGGTCATTATGAGTCAGAACCGATTCCATGGCACTTAAAAATAACAACACATAGTTGAAAGCCTTTGCATAATCAATAAAGTAAAAGTAAACTTCTTTCTGGTATTCTCTGCTTTCAGCCAAGAATATACTGTGCATGGAATCAAGAAAATGAAATTAGAAATACAGGCAGAGAATTCTTCCTTCTTGTTAATCTTCCTACAACAAGGTCTTTTCCCTACCTGATTTGGAGTCCAGACCATGCAAGCTGTCAGCTCAATCAACAAACCTTCAAGCCATGTGTCTTCAGCTAGAGAAATGGGTTTCTTAGCTGGCATTAGATTGTTAGTCTTAGAAATGAGTTTGCTAATCAATAAAGTCAGAATGGTGTGACATTTACAGCAACTAAATAATGACCTTTCCGCAGTGCTGGATCCCTCTTTCCTCTTCTCTTTTTATAGTTGGATAATCCCAACCACTAAGGCAGAGGTGAGCCATGCATCTGAATTCCAGATCATCACCTTTGGGCTTTATTAGATGTAGCAGGCAAGGATCTCTTTCTGAGGGTGTGGGTGTTGATGAGTGAGCCTCTGTGTGCTGCTGGATGACCAGTGAAATGCCTCTATGGGATAATAACTGGTTTTGGACCATCCTACTCAGCAGAGTTTCTGAGCACCAGCTGATACTGTGTAGTTCCTGGCTGTCATGAGAAACAGCTCCTGTCTGTGAGGAGTTTGCAATCTGTTTAGAACAATGTTGATAGTGAAAGGATACTAAAATTCAGACTTAAGTCAAATACCAAAATCCTCAGTGAAAGCGCCCTTTCAGAGAGGGGAGAAGGCATCGTGGCTTTGGATGTCCAGGAGGCTTCTCGGTACAGTCAAGCATTCAGAGTGGTTTAAAGAATAGGTGGGTTTGGGGTAGATAGAGAGTTATCCCTTACCTGCAAATGTTTAGAGACGGGATTGCTGTTCTTAAGTGCCGATGAGTTGGTTCCTACTCATAGCAACCCTGTGTAGGATTTCTGAGGAGCAGTTGGTGGGTTTGAACTGCTCTTCCTGTGATTAGTAGTCCAGTGTTTATCCTACAGCACTACAGCAGGATTCCCCTAATCTACAAAAATACAGAGACTGGATTGAGGAGAGTGCCTTGCATTAAGAGAATAGTTATTAGTTGCTGAGAAGTCAGTTCTGATTCATGGCGACGCTAGTTTGCAGAGTGGAATTGCTCCATGCAGTTTTCAAGCCTATGTATGATATGCAGAAATATATCACTAGACCTGTCTTCCAAAATGCCTCTAAGTGGGTTTGAACTGTCACTTTAGGCAGTGAGTAACCATTTGTATCATCCAGGAAACAGAGAAAATTTGGTTGGAGTGTACAAGGGGGCTTCACAAATTTTGTGGAAAAAAGGAATGAAAAGGTAACGGAATTTTTCAGAAAACTTTTTGAATCCTCCTTGTAAATGTCTACTGTGGAAGAGAAATTTATTGAGTCAGACCAGGTTACAGATGGCTGCATATGTCTGGATTAAGATTTTGAATTTAACGGCATCGTGAAGTTCTTAAAAGACAGTGGAGTGTGGAAGAAACAATTGAAGGAGGAAGGAGATTAGAGTCAAATGGCTGGTTTAAGCAGCAGTGTATGTGAGGAGGGAAGCTAGGTACTTAGTAATTATGGTCAAATTAAGGGTTTGAGAAGGACAATTCAGAGAGGAGAAATAATAGGATTGATGATTGAGTATGCATAGTTTTGGAGTAGAGGAAGGAATCAGGGTTTTTCAAAGTTATGTATTTGAGTAATTGATGGTAATAAACATAGAACCCCCTTCTGGCCATTAAAAATAGAAGTTTCAGGCTTTTAAAGTCTGATGCCTGCTTTCAAATAATGATAAAATATTTAAGTGCCTGAGAGTAATACCTTCTTTCCTCTAATGTCAGCCCTTTGAAAATTGTTGAAGAGGGCTGATTGCCTCTTGTAGATTCCAGTTTCTTCCGATTCATTTGTTGAATGGGAAAGTTCCTAGTGGTGGAAACAATTAAGTGCTAAGTTGTTGACAGAAAGGTTTGAACTCATCCAGAAGTGCATTAGAAGCAAGGTCTGGTAATGTGCTTTTGAGTAGAACTTAATGAAGCAGTTCTACTTTAAAACACACCAGGTCCCCATAAGTCAAAATAGAATTGGAGGTTACTAGTATCTCGACAGCACTTAACAACAACAACAAATATAGGTAATAAGGAGCTCTGGTAGTGTAGTGGTTATGAGTTGGGCTGCTAACCTTGAAGTCAGCAGTTCGAAACTACCAGCTGTTCTGCAGCAGAAAGATGAGGCTTTTTGTTCCCTTAAAGATTTACAGCCTCAGAAACCTATGCAGGATCGTTATGAGTCGAAACTGACACCACCACCACCAGTATAGGTGATAACACTATATGTTGAACAGCTGGAAATAGAGGTTGGTTGGGGAGCATACTTTGAAATATTACTGCTATGTCTCAGAGTTAATTTTATTTGCTGTATGGGTAAGAAGGGCCATGAGCATAGGAAAAACAAAACAAAACAAAAACCCAACAATTGTTGTTGTTGTCAGGTGCTATCGAGTCGGAACCGACTCATAGCGACCCCATGCACAGCAGAACAAAACAATGTCCGATCCTGGGCCAACCTCACTACCGCTGCCACATTTGAGT